TCTTACAACTATAGTAATGTTTCACATACCTCCTAAAATAAGTGATAATTAAAATTAACCTCTATGTGTTGGAGGAACCCAAATGGAACACAAATGAACCTAGCTATATTACAAATGAACAACATAACTACACTGAAAAAGGTAGAGAAGAAAAGATCTAAATTGAATAATTTTGGAAATTAATATTCTTGTTATATACTGTAAAGTTAAGACAAAAACAACTGTACCCAAACACTACTATCTAGTTAGTAAATTTGTTTCTCACAGGGATTATGGGATCACAATTCTGGAATTTCTTTATATGCATACTAGGGTTGAGCAAATAAGTAATATTAGGGATAGTGAAAGCAAGGTTTCTCACTGTTGGAGAAAGGCATTTCAAATAAGGAAGGGAAGAAGTCTAGAAAGAAACTAGTGGTACTGTGTTGTAATTAGATGTATCACGATAAACTTACAGTCTTTCATAGGTAGACAGATATTCACAGACAGACATACAGTGGAAGAGAGGAGTTTATGCATGTGAATACACGTATTTCCTAGCTCTGTCAGTTGAGAGGACCTAGAAGCAATGACATACCAATAGCAATGAGCATACCTTACACCGAAATTTTGTTTTAAAATATCAATCTCCAATTAAAAGAACTAGGGGTCTTTGGAGAAATGACCAATTCTTGGGCTGGAGCAAAACTAACTTGGTATGTCTTGTGTGCCAAAGAACAAGTAATAAAATGCTTTTTAAAAAATGATGGGGATAATTCTTTAGGGATAAATGTTGAATAATTATGGTGGACACCTGAAACTAACATAATATTGTATGTTAGCTGTATTTTAATAAAAATCTTAAAATAAATAAATAATTTTAAAATGATGGGGTTATGTCAAGGGACACAAGAGCCTACTGGAATGGGCTCCAAACGGCCAAGGGATAATTTGGGCAACAAAAGAAATAATTATAGTAATGAATTATGGAATCCATAGAATAAAATATTCATGAGTCCCCATTGATATAATAACTGCATATATGAGAAAAGAAGAAATAGCTCTCATAGTACAACTCTAATTAATATATGTAAAAGGAGTGATGGAACTAACACATATCAGCATTTGGCAAACATTATTGTTGCAGGTAAGAATTAAAGTATCTCCTCCCAAGATACTTATTAACTCCAAAGGGAAAAATAGTAACTTTGCAGGGGAGAGACCTGGTAGACCTTAACTAAGTGACAAAAGTTAAATCAGCAGCAATGAGACATATCGACATCATGTACCATCTGATATAATATATTGAGAGGAGCACGGCATCACTTCTGTGGTATTCTTGCCAAAAATGCATATGCCAATTCTTATCATTAAAAAAAAATCAAATAAACCCAAACTGGGAGATAGTCTACAAAATTATTAGCCAGGACTCTTCAAAAACATTAAAGTTAGAAAAAATGGAGAAAGACTCTCCCATACTAGATGAGGCTAAGGAAATATGACAATGAAATGTACCGTGGGATCCTGGACCTAAGAAAAGACATTAGTAGGACAATCAGCAAAATGGGAATAAATTCTTTATATTAGTTAATATTATTATAGCAATGTCAATCTCTGGTTTTTATAATCATAGCGTGATTATGTAAAATGTTAACATTTGGGGAAGTTGTGTATAGGGTACATAAAATTCAATGTAGCATTTTTGCAACTTCTTTTCTATATCTAGAGTTATTTCAAAATAAAAAGTTAAATAAGTAAGTATAGTCTCTACTCTAAAGGAGTTGATAGATCTAAGAAAATACTGGCACACAGCTATAAAGAACATATGTGCTTGAACACCAAAGGGATACTATATTCAATTAGAAGTACTATGGCTTAGGGGCCGGCCGAGTGGCTCAGTTGGTTAAGAGCTCGCTCAAGAGTTTGAGCTCTGAGCAACAGCGGTTCGAGTCCAGCCCGAGCTGAGCAGCCGCTGAGCTGCCAACAGGTAGTAGGATGGCTCAGCTAAAAACAAAAACAAAACAAAACAGAAGTACTATGGCTTTATGATGTAACTTGTGATATTATTACATTTTGAAATTTAAAATGTCATAAAATGATGCTTCTGGGCTATGTATAGTCATAAAGAAATAAGGCTGGAATTAACCTGTGAAACTGTTTCACATTTGTTACAAACCTGAAGGCAGAAAAGGTACATGTTAATCATCATCAGGGACATCGTAAAAGTTAGGAAGAGACAGCATGATTTAGTGATTTTAAAGACAATCTAGTTCTCTTCTCCAAATTAAACTCAGAAACAAATTTAAAGAAAATACTAACCTGGAAACCCCTATCTCAATAAACTATCTTTCTGAGAATCTCGACATGAATCAAAATAAAAAGATGGTTCCTAGGCATCAACTGAGAAAGATTTCGGTACCAATGTTCACCTGTACAGAGCGAAATACTCCTGGGGTTTGGCCTGTTGAGTCATGGGGCAAAGAGAAATTCTTATTTGCATCACCAAATTTCTACATGTGGTAAAAAGCAGACTCATGAACAGGTGAAAAACTATTTTAGGAGTTGATGTTTACTTTACTTTTCCATCAATAATGGTCAGATTCTGTGAAGTCAATTCTGAATGCACTACCCATTAAAATGCCTTCGGTTACACTTGAAACCTATACATATAATCTTATTAACCAATGTCATCTCAATAAATTTATATATACATATATAAAGCCTTTGGAGGGGATAGGTCTGGCAGCACATCTCTCTACAGCGACCTGGTGAACTCTCGGCAGACCCTCACTCTGGCAAAGGAACTTGACTATATAGTCAAGTATTGATACAATTTAAAATCAGCATGAACTGTGTGTTAAACACCTCAGCGAGCTTCTTTTTCACAACTATTTTTCTACTTTTATGTAACAGAAAACGTCCACAGGGCCATTTTCCTTACTCTGCCTGAGTAAAATCAATAGACTTAGTCCATGGCTCTCATAGTATTCTTAGCACACAGACCATGTTCTCCTGGCAGCTAGAACAACCCTTAAGGTCTTAACAGCAAGTGAATTTATCTTTCTACCTTGACATAGTTCTAAAAATTATATTCTGGATCCAGCACCACAGGAAATTAAAATTTTTGAGGTATATACATAGATTTTTCATAAAAAGGAACAAGAATTGAAATTGCAAATATAAAAATTTTGGCGAATCCTTAATTCATATTTATTGCAGCTTAGAAACCTTAACTGAAGGTATGTGTTCAAAATTGGTTGCTATTTTTATGAAGAACTTGGTCCTTCCCTGGGCCTGATTTGAAAACCAGTGCAAGTATCACAGGTTATCCAAGGACATTTTTACTTGAAATAGAAAAAAATAACACCAATTCTGCACAGGCTGCAGATGCTCAATGGTCTGCATTTCCGAATCCACTGAGAACTCACACTACTCAGAAAATAGATACATTTTTAAAAGGGAGGGTGAAGGAGAAAATACTCCTCCTTTACCTAATTCCTAGTTGTCAGTAACTAAAATTGGGCTTGACAGCCAACTGACATTTATCATTTGGCTAATTGTGGAAGTTCATTTAACTAGACCTGTCTGGCTCTGCCAGGTACCTTCCTCCTCTATCACCATTCCAAGTATATCCTGACAAAGCTGGGCCCAAAAGAAGAGAAACAATCTTTTTCAAGGCTATTGAAGCTGCATTCTTGGCAGAAATCACAGAACTAGCTTCTGTGT